GTAGGGCCCATGGATGGGGCTTTGAATCCTTTTCCATCACTTAGTAGCTGTGTGGCCTTAAGTAAGTCACTCACCCTCTCTGAGCCTCGCTTTTTCCACCTGTAATGTTGGTATGAAACCACCCTCGAAGGGAGCTGCACGAGATGCCGAGGACAGTACCTGGCACGCAGCAAGGGTTCAACAGTTGTCTGCTCTTGTCACATTAACCCCGAGAGAGCCCTCTGGTGAGGAAGGCTGTGGGTGATCGAGGATGAGTGGCTTCTTGTCGGGAGTCTGTCCCGCACCAGCTGTGTGATTCTGGGAAAGCCGTGTTTCTCATTTCCTCTTCTGCTTCCCTCGAGGGTGTGAGAATCACATGGAAAGATGAACTTGAACTTCGTTGGAAGCCCTCTGCTGGGGCTATGGGGGTGGGGTGTGGTTCCCTAGCTCTGTGTGAGAGGTAGCTCATGGCCCCAGGCTGCAGACATGGTAGTTAATGTCTGGGTATTGGCACCTTCCCGGTGATGAGAGCGACAGGCCCCGCCTTGTTGTTTTTCCTGGTGAGGCCGAGTTCAGCTGTGAGAGAGTCTCTGCAGCCTCCCCTACACTCCCCGCTGGGCTGGGCGAGGAGGGGGCCTTGCCCACACAAGGGCATTATCCTACGGCTTGGCTTGGTGACAACGGGGCAAAGGGCAGAGCCATAGGAAATCGGTCCCTCACAGCTGCAAATAGATAGGCTTCCCTTTTCCGAAGCTGAGCTGTGGGAGGGGGTGGAGAAGAACTGTGTTAGCAGCAGCGCTGGAGGTGGCAGCAGCTCGCCCTTTGGCTGGCAGGCCGAGTGGGGACTTGGCCTCCCTGGCATTTGGAACTGCAGGACCCAAGGTTGGAATGGCTCATCCCAAGCTGGTCAGGCCTCAGGGGCTGCTCCCGCATGCCCTGCCTGGTGTGTGTGAGTCAAGCTGTAGCCAGAGGGGGCTTCCGAGGCTCGATTAGATCAGAGAGGGTAACGGAGCCCTTTCTCCAGGGCTCAGGGGCTGGTCCTCGGGGGTTGATGACATTCTCCTGCAGGCTCCCAGCGAGCCTGTGAAATCCTGTTTAACGCAAGATCTCTGGGGAGTTATGGGATTTTTAGGAATCCAGTTGGTTCTGAGGTCCTAGAAAGGAAATCTAAGGGGTGGTGAGAGGGGGCCCTGGCCTCCTTCTGATCAGGCCCCGCTCCCTCTGGGCATCAGTAGAAATACAAGATGATGTCACTTACATCGCAGACCTTTCCACGCGGAAGATTCTGTGAGCTCTGAGAGTCCAGATCAAAGGAGCAGAACGACTGTGGGACACAGGGTACTTCAGGTGCCGCAGGCAAGCGCAGGCATCTCTCTGGGGACCGGACGTGTTTTAGGAATTGTTCTGATAGGGGGGTGGTGGTGAAAGTCTCTGTTACTGCCTGGAATTCAAATTGGAACCGCATCCTCTGTTTGCACATGACCATGATGTGTCCTGGCTACATCCATTTAGTCCCACCCTCAGCCCTCCCCTTGTGGCAGTTTCCTCCCTTCAAGCTCAGTCTGCGAGTTACAAATGCAAACCACCTCTCAGGCTATCAGTTAAAATGTGCCAGACACGTGCTGCCTGAAAATCACCCCAGTGAACCGGAACACATGCATCTGTGTGTGTTCTCAGCGTCTGTACATACATGTATGCACACACACACAGGTCTACACATGCACACACATTCGCAACTCCCTGCAGCTCACTAGCTAGGAAACAAAGGTCACAGTGCACAGCCACCCCCTGACAGGTGGGACTGGTCTGTGGCAAGTCTGGGGGAGAGTGGGGTCTGAGGTGCAGCTCCCTCTCCTACAAAAACGCTGAGTGTGTCCTCCAACCAGGCT